AGATGTGTATAAGAGAAAGATCCCGGACTGTCCAGTAATGGGAAACTACCCTCAGCAAGTGACAAGCAACAGCATCTTGCATCAGGTGGCCCAAAGGAGGGCAAATAGACGGAACACGTCCAACGTTACATCCGACGACGACTCGGAGACGGAGGACGACGAAGGCGGCGCATCAGCGTGACCTTGGACTACGACGTCCTAAACTCATCATAAGGATAAGGAAGGATAAGGTGTACAGGTCTCTAGTACAGGTGTACAGGTCTCTAGTACAGGTGTACAGGTCTCTAGTACTGGTGTACAGGTCTCTAGTTCCGTTCTACAGGTCTCAAGTACAGGTGTTGCGTGCAGGTGTTCAGGGAGGGCCGCACCAAGGCTGTGGGGAAGGTGCTGGAAGTCATCCCCAAGGCCGCCCCGTCCCACCACCCGCACCGCAACCACAAGATCAACAAGATGCTTAAACAGGTGAGTTCTTCTAACGCACCTTTTCCTCGTAACCCACCTCCTATAAACACAGATCAGGTGGGTTCTTCTAGCCCACCTCTTCAACAGGTGGGCCTTTCTACTCCTGTAGGGTGCTCGACATAGCCCAGAGGCAGGCTACACCAGGGAAGGCACATGTTGGTGTCGGCAGCAGTTGTTCTTTAATTAAAGTTTTGGTATAAAGCTAAACTTTAAGAAAAGCAATAAAATGCCTCAATAAGGGATCCTCTCCCGTGTATCTCTTTAGCGTCTCACGCTATACCGTTGATGTTGTAGAGTGCTACAACATCTACTGCCTCTGCAGCGACTGCTCCTGCTACGGCTTCTAACACATCTGGTGACCACACACCACCCAGCACAACCACCTCCTCCGTAACCATACCACCTATCACTTCCACACCTACCAACACTCAGGCCTTACCCACCCCCGACCACCACTCTAACACCACTTCCACCACCCGTATACCTCCTCCCCACACCTCGCTACACTTCAATTCCTATAATTCCTGTGGCCCCGTTGGGGAGCTGGTGCACAGCCCCCTGCCTCCATCGGCCCCATCTTCAGGGGACAATGCCCCCTCAACTAATGGACCCAAGTTGCCAGACCCACCTAATTTGGCGGGACCAACTAAATCGGCATGCAGTGGCCCGGCCAATTCGATGGGACCTCCGTTAATTTCTGGTCCCAAACTAGTCCCCTACCACCTGGTGGACCCCAAACCGATGGACCCCAGACATCCTGCGCAGCAGACCCAGGGGCCCCAACTCCCCTCACAGGACCCGCCTGATGATCTGGGCCGAGAGTCGCTGTCCCAGAGGGACATATCCCACGGACCTGAACCTGCTGTAGACATAGGGACAGGTCCTAGCGACGGGTCCTCCGGCGCACAGAAGAAGCACCGCAGTCGCCGAGGGGGCAAGCATAGGTGGGGGCCAGCATCCTTGCCCCCCTCTTGTTTTGCTGTGGTCGTCCGCTGCTTCTTTAGACAACCTAGAGCTTTGTTAACCTATATAATTTGTTATGTTCTTATAGCGCCGTATTATGAGCCTCCTACCGTCCCCTCATATTCTCCCTGTCCCCTCATCTTCTCCCTGTCCCCTCATCTTCTCCCTGTCCCCTCATCTTCTCCCTGTCCCCTCATCTTCTCCCTGTCCCCTCATCTTCTCCCTCTTACGTATCGCCTCTCATTTGCACCGCTGTATCCTGCCGCCCAATAAGTCTCCTGCAAGCCTATATATTGTTATCATTTATCCTATGGCTTTTTTATGCTGTTAGGTATTACCTTTATATTCTTATCCTTAAATACAAAGCCTGTGTATCATCATTTTAGGTAGGTATGGCCTGTATATTTTTGTCCTTCAATACACAGCCTGTGTAACTGCAGCCGTTACTGCAGTTCGAGTAGAATATCTACTTGCAAGATATTGTAAGCAAATAAAGTTATATGTTCGAGTAGAATATCTAATAGCAAGATATTGTAAGCAAATAAAGTTATATATAATAATAAAGACCTTGCTTCTGACGCCTGTTTTATCTCCCCAGGTTGCGGTCAAATAAACCCCCCACGGGGGGCGGGGAGCCTCCACCCCCCACTTCAGGCGCCCACGACGTCCCTCTGCAGTAGAGGGACGCCCTCCCCGCACCCTCACCCCGGGGCTTGGGTGTCGCCCGTCAAGCGCCCTCCCCATCCTGCGGGAGTGACATCCCCTACACCCCCGGGGGGTCAGGGCAGCATGCCTCCCCCCCAACAGTCCACTCATAATATTTTGATCATCAATGTTTTACAATTTAAATCTATGCTTAATTCTTGATGTTGACGACGATTGTGATGCTAGATCAATAATTTCAACCTAAGTCTAATATCCACGATGAAACTAGGAACGTTAATTTGATTTAGAAGAAATAGGTGACCTAGAGGCACCTAGACATATTCTAGATCTCGCTTGACGCGGTATAGGTGACCTAGAGGCACCTAGACATATTCTAGATCTCGCGTGACGCGGTATAGGTGGCCTAGAGACACCTAGACATTCTAGATCTCGCGTGACGCGGTATAGGTGGCCTAGAGACACCTAGACATTCTAGATCTTCAGTGTGCACTAGGTGCCAGCATCTCAGTGTGCACTAGGTGCCAGCATCTCAGTGTGCACTAGGTGCCAGCATCTCAGTGTGCACTAGGTGCCACTAGGTACTCATTGTGCATTGGGGCGTGAAGCAGAATTGTTATCAGTATTGATAAAATAAAAATTTTATGTATATTCTGTATTACTGATGTGTGTGTTCGGACGTATACCTCACTTGCAGTTACTGCCTGCCGTTACTGCGTGCAGTTCCTGCGTGCAGTTCCTGCGTGCAGTTCCTGCGTGCAGTTCCTGCGTGCAGTTCCTGCGTGCAGTTACTGCGTGCAGTTCCTGCGTGCAGTTACTGCGTGCAGTTCCTGCGTGCAGTTACTGCGTGCAGTTCCTGCGTGCAGTTACTGCGTGCAGTTCCTGCGTGCAGTTACTGCGTGCAGTTCCTGCGTGCAGTTACTGCGTGCAGTTCCTGCGTGCAGTTACTGCGTGCAGTTACTGCGTTAGTATAATCACTGCGATGTCACTTGTACCGAGTGTTGCTCTGCAGCGCCGTGAGTGTAGTAAATCTTAACGCCTCATAGCCAACTGCAGTTTTATTAGCTCCTTAATTCTTTGTAGCTCATTACTTTGCATGCTAGTTGACTGGAAGGCCAGTTGACAGGAAGGCCAGTTGACAGGAAGGCCAGTTGACAGGCAGGCTAGTTGACTGGCAGGCCAGTTGACAGGCAGGCCAGTTGACAGGCATTCATCGGCGCCAATCCACCACGAGTACTCACGGACGGATATCTTCTGGCCGTAAGTAACCTTCCTTCTGGCTGTAAGTAACCTTCCTTCTGTTTTTAGTGATGCCCACAGTTTAGTGACAGTTTCTTCCTCATCTTCAACGATCAAGATGCCGGAAGTGAATGCTTGCTGGGAAATGAAATATGGCAAAAATGAAAATGCCTTTGATATCTCATCAAAAAATTTATTATCGCGAAACGGAAACTGCAACAGACTGGACATGATTGCGGCACATCTCTCGTAATCCCTTCTGTCCCCTCTTATTCTTTCCCTCGGGATGTCCCTCTCTTGCCCACCACCACATCACCGACTCAGCAGTACACCATCACGCCCCCACATCACTCCCAGGATGATCGTCACCCCCAGCAGAAGAACTACGAGGTCCTCGGCGGTGACCGCGTTGGCGCTGGAGGGGCAGTGGAGGACGTCTGGGCAGTACCCCAGCAGGTGATCGACGTTGGCGAGGAAGACGCCCCAGGGGCAGTCGGTGGGGCAGTTGAGGATGGGGAAGGGCGTCTCCTGCAGGTAGGCGCGCACGAAGAACTCTTGCTGGTGGCACCGCGTCAGCGTCAGCACCAGGTGACCTCCGAAAGGCGCGAGCTCCGACACCCGCCACCGACGGTGGTCTGCGGAAGGAGGTGAAGATGGTACGGAGGTCTAGGTGAGGGTGGTACAGGGGTCTATGGGAGAAGGTGGACAAACATCTGAGAAAGAGGCAGGTGGTGTGGGTCGGATTCTGAAGGTGGGGAGGGTTGGAGGAGGTCTGTAAGAATTCTTTATAAAGCGAAAAAATTGCTTATGAAGCGAGGTTAATAAACACGAAGAGTTCTCGCCTGCGCATTGGCATCACTTGGGCAGCCTCCGTGCAAGAAGCGAACAATGCACGGCGGGAGCCTGACATATTCCTGACCCACTTCTGCAAGACTCACGCAGCATGGCGGGGTCGGTGGCCGTGACGGGCGTCGCCTCGGCGTTGACGCCCAGAACGGCCAGGAGGCGCAGCAGCGCCGAGGCGTCGCTCACAATGACGCGGGCGCTGGTGAGACGATGCTGGTGGAAGTGGCCCTCCTCCACGATGCCCCTGGGGAGGAGGGAGTCAGGTTGTGGGTTAATTGTACGCATGATGTGGTATACCAACCAGATCTTCGTGCCGAAAATACCCAAATTCCATCCAAACCCAATAGCCAACCCAACCCAAATACCGGAAAACCCAAATGTAGACCAAACCCAAATGCCGACCATACCCAAATGCGGACCTAACCCAAATGCCGTCCAAACCCAAATGACGACTAAACCGGAATGCCGATCATACCCAAATGCGGACCAAAGCCAAATGCAGACCTAACCCAAATGCCGTCCAAACTCAAATGACGACTAAACCGGAATGCCGATCATACCCAAATGCGGACCAAAGCCAAATGCCGACCTAACCCAATGGCAGGCCGGCATCAACTGCATCTCACCTGAAGTACTCCATCAGGTGCCGCAGGCTGCGGCAGGCCGGCATCAGCTGCATCTCACCTGAAGTACTCCATCAGGTGCCGCAGGCTGCGGCAGGCCGGCATCAACTGCATCTCACCTGAAGTACTCCATCAGGTGCTGCAGGCTGCGGCAGGCCGGCATCAGTTCGTAGTTGATCATCTCCTCGTAGTTGTGCCGATGTAGGCCGAGCCTGCGATACCAGATGCTGTCGTCGACCAGCTCCAGCAGCTGCAATGGAGGGAGCAGGTGAAGCAGCTGCAATGAAGGGAGCAGGTGTAGCAGCTGCAATGAAGGGAGCAGGTGTAGCAGCTGCAATGGAGGGAGCAGGTGTAGCAGCTGCAATGGAGGGAGCAGGTGTAGCAGCTAATGGTGACAGTAAACCTCCATCCTACCACAAAACATGCGTCATGCCACCCGGGTAATGCGTCATACCTCGAGTTCAGGCTTGGAGAAGATGGCGCACCAGGGCGAGTAGGCGCTTGGGTCAACGGCGACCGCCGCCCGACACGCGTCATACGTCCACTGCAGGTGGCCTGCCATAACACGACCTTTATACGACCATAACACGATCTTTATACGACCATAACACGACTGTACGTATTCATAAGAGGATCAGTAGCTGATTTGTCGGGCTTTCGATTTAGATTTTTTTATGAATTTTTCGTTTAGTGACAAAATAGCGGGTATTCCAGCAATGTTTATGTAACCCACGGACCCGAGCTAACGAGGAAATGTCAGTATTTCGTATATTTGGATTGTTTAAATGTTATCTCTAAGCCCCCGTTTTCCTCTGAATTCTTCATCGTCAGACCATAATTCTGATCATCAGGTGTTCAAATTAAAAGCTGTTTACTTTAATAAAGATGTATTTGAAAGAGCGGGATCTTCACTGCAATATATTAATCGCTGACGCGGAGAAGAACCGATAGAAAGTAAAATTGACCTGAACTCAACCTTAGGGAAAGAAGGATGGATGCCAATGATGTGAAACGGGAAAATAAACAAGGACAACGAAGAATATCTTGCAACGCACGACGGTAAAAAGTTCAATATGTTACATGATTCTTCTCGGTTGAAGTCCATGTGGGTATACTAGCTGGAACCGAAGACTGCCAAGAAAGTCTTGCTGCCGATGAATTGCATAAGATGGAAGTTTAATAATTGTTTGAATTTAAAAAAACCTGCCCTAATTTAGCTGGTAGCATTATGGTAAGCATGCAAAATGCTTTAATTAAAGTTTTTATGGTGGACGTACAAGCTCCTCCTCCCTCATCCCTCACCCCGCCCGAAGAGATGCTCCGGGAGGCCGAGTCTGACGCGGACGGACTCCGTGACCCCGGCGACCATCTCCTGCTCCTCACCCCCCGCCCCCCGCCACACCTCGCTCGACAGCCGGCATTTGTACTGCACAAGGCGCCCATTAGTCATACTATGTACTGCGCAAGGCGCCCTTTAGTCATATTATGTACTGCGCAAGGCGCCCTTTAGTCATATTATGTACTGCGCAAGGCGCCCTTTAGTCATATTATATACTGCACAAGGCGCCCTTTAGTCATATTATGTACTGCACAAGGCGCCCTTTAGTCATATTATGTACTGCACAAGGCGCCCACTAGTCATGTACTGCACAAGACGCCCATTAGTCATATTATGTACTGCACAAGGCGCCCATTAGTCATATTATTAGTCATATTATGTAATGCACAAGGCGCCCATTAGTCATATTATTAGTCATATTATATACTGCACAAGGCGCCCATTAGTCATATTATTAGTCATATTATGTACTGCACAAGGCGCCCATTAGTCATATTATGTACTGCACTAGGCGCCCATTAGTCATATTATTAGTCATTATGTTCTGCACAAGGCGCCCATTAGTCATATTATTAGTCATATTATGTACTGCACAAGGCGCCCATTAGTCATATTATTNCTAGTCACCTGGGTGAGGTCATCATCTAGTCACCTGGGTGAGGTCATCATCTAGTCACCTGGGTGAGGTCATCATCTAGTCACCTGGGTGAGGTCATCATCTAGTCACCTGGGTGAGGTCATCATCTAGTCACCTGGGTGAGGTCATCATCTAGTCACCTGGGTGAGGTCATCATCTAGTCACCTGGGTGAGGTCATCATCTAGTCACCTGGGTGAGGTCATCATCTAGTCACCTGGGTGAGGTCATCATCTAGTCACCTGGGTGAGGTCATCATCTAGTCACCTGGGTGAGGTCATCATCTAGTCACCTGGGTGAGGTCATCATCTAGTCACCTGGGTGAGGTCATCATCTAGTCACCTGGGTGAGGTCATCATCTAGTCACCTGGGTGAAGTCATCGTCTAGTCACCTGGGTGAGGTCATCATCTAGTCACCTGGGTGAGGTCATCATCTAGTCACCTGGGTGAGGTCATCACTCCCCCTGAGGTAGAGTTGGGGGGTGAGGGCCCCCAGGTGGGGTGACGTGGAGGTAGGAGGTGTCATGCCGTGTAGGATGGCCAAGGCGCTGCTGTAGGAGGCGCTGCTGGAGGAGTGCACCACCTGAGGGAAGGATGGGGGTGGAGGGTGGGTGAAATGAGAGTCAAAACAGATTAGGGAGAAAAAGCTGCTTTAATGAGATACAATATCGTATAATGTAATGAGATACGATGTCATATAATTAAATGAGATATATTATCGTATAGTTTAATGATTCAAGATTATATTATATATGAATGATAATATATCGTATAATTTAATGATATACAATATTGTATAATGTAATATAACAGACCCTGAAGCTCGCGGGAGAGAAGTCGTACACTGGCCCGAAGAAGGCGCTGCTGTAGCGCCTGGCGGTGGCGTAGAGGTCGTGGGCACCCACGCTGGTAAGCTCCCCCACCCCCTCCAGTACCCCCACTGGGGGACCCGTCCAGCTCACCAGCGCTGACAGGTCCTCAGCACACAGAGAACCTGTCCACCGAGTGATGGATAGCAATGAAACATGGCTCGCTCAACTACTGAACTCAATTAAAAATATATAGTTTAATTTTCTTATGAAATTAGTGGCTGGGGCGACTGTGTTGTGGCCCAGCCTTGAGTTGTCGCACATGCTTGACAACTCTGTGCACCTCTTGACAAGCTTATCACCCACGTCCAACACCTCCTTCTAGTAGCTCCCCATACCTCTACTCAGCGGGCATTCCGTGCCGGAATCAATAATTCATTCCTCGTATATTCCTTTAGTTTGGAAACGCCTAGAGTTTGGAAACGCCGTGTGGTCACCGAAACTTGAAAAGGACAAAAATTTAGCAGAGAGTGTTCAAAGACGCGCTACAAGGTTAATTCTAGGCGTGAAGGGCAAGTCTTATGAAATATTAAAGATTATGAAGCTTCCAAGCCTCAGTTATCGACGTCTGCGTGGGGACCTTATTGAAGTATACAAGTATACCCACGGTTTAAGCAAGGTCCCAGAAGGAGTCCTAGAATTTGAAACACACACCAACACCAGGGGCCACGGCTATAAACTAAAAAAGCTGCGCTGCAATTTCTCCACGCGACAACATTTCTTCTCGCTTCGAATCACCGACATGTGGAACAGCCTCCCCGATTACATCGTTGGCGCTCCAAGTATGAACGCGTTCAAGAACAGACTAGATAAAGCTATGGAAAAATATATCTTCAGCCTTGAAATGCCTAGCACCATACCTATCGAACCCGGTAGAAGACTAGTAGCTATTTCAAACTATCGTCAGTCTTGAAAAGATCCGGTCGAAGGATCTGTTTTTAGATCTGCATTCACGAAAAATACAAAAATCTGCGACGGGCCACATCAGGCCTATTATTCAGCGCCGACATCACCATGCTAAGCTACGCTATAGCTGGCAACTATACCTCTGCCCAGTTGATGGCTCTCAATGATCTTGGTCTTCAGGAAGAGGAGGGCGTCCGTTGTGGAGGGGTCGACCAGTCCGTATTCTGGGAGCGACGTTCCTTCCCTGCTGAACTGCCAGTACGACAACACAACGCAGTCTGCCAGACGTATGTGCAATTAATGGATTATGTACGCTGCCTGAACGACAACACAACGTAGTCTACCAGACGTATGTGCAATTAAGACTGACACTGCCTGTACGACAACAAAACGCAGTCTGCCAGACGTATGTGCAATTAATGGATTGTGTACGCTGCCTGAACGACAACAAAACTTAGTCTATCAGACGTATGTGCAATAAGACTGACACTGCCTGTACGACCACAAAACGCAGTCTGCCAGACGTATGTGCAATTAATAGACTGTGTACGCTGCCTGAACGACAAAACATCGTTAATAGAAATGAACACGCGTAGTTAAGAACGTCATTTATGATAGATGTAGAAAAGTGTGATAACCGTAGCGACATTCATACCGTATTAATGAATGAAGCGATGATAAAAGAATGCGGCCTAATATCAGAATATCGAACATAATATGAGATTGGTTGAGAGACGTTGAACAATTAAATACAGAATACGTTACCATGGAGGTAACCGTGTCATTACCCACCCAATGTAGTGGCCTGATAACTGGTATCGATGGCGTAGGTGGCGAGGGAGAGCTTGGCTGCCTGGTAATCCGTGAGTATCCCGAAGTTCCTGTAAGGATTCCTGTCCAGGTAATGGCAGGACTGCGCCGCCGCCGTTAGCATGGTTACCACGAATACCATCAATACTGTCAACATGTCTGCGGACCTGAGCATAGTAACGAAGTTCGTTACCCGGCAGCCGTTAACGCGTTACCTGGCGATTGGTAACGTGTTAGCTGGCAACTGGTAACGCGTTACCTGGCAACTGGTAATGCGTTAACTGTCGACTAGTAATGCGTCAACTGTCAACTGGTAATGCGTTAACAGTCAACTGGTAATGCGTTAACTGTCAACTGGTAATGCGTTAACTGTCAATTGGTAATGCGTCAACTGGCAACTGGAAATGCGTTAACTGTCAACTGGTTATGCGTTAACTGTCAATTGGTAATGCGTCAACTGTCGACTGGTAATGCGTCAACAGTCAACTGGTGATGCGTTAACTGTCAACTGGTAATGCGTTAACTGTCAACTGGTGATGCGTTAACTTTCAACTGGTAAAGCGTTAACTGTCAACTGGTAATGCGTTAACTGTCAACTGGTAATGCGTTAACTGTCAACTGGTAATGCGTTAACTGTCAACTGGTAA